ATGCTAGACATTTTCACCATGCCCTTCAGGTTTCAGATGCTCTTTTCTCTATTTCCCACACTTTTTTCCTTAGGGGCATCTGTCTGAATATTTCCTCTTGAACAACATTCTGGTTCGCAATTTCACTTATGATTATGTCTGCCCTACTTTGAGAAGCTTTCTGCTGAGCTCTGAATTTTGATTACTTTATTTTTTTCTTCCAGAATTTCCCTTTAAAACTTCTTTACATTTTCCAGTCCCTCTGCTGAAATTTCCCATCTAGTTATCTCATTTTTTTAACATATTAATCACATTTATTTTACAATTCTTATCTAACTCAAATACCTGTTTCATTTATGGGTCCATTTCTACTGACTATATTTTCTCTTAGTTTTAGTCATGCTGCCCTTGTGGTATGCTTGGTAAATTGTTACTGCATGTCAGATATTGTAGCTGAAAGTAATAGAATTAATTTTAAGTCCAAACATGATGACCTTTTCCTCCAAAGAAAATTTGCTTTTATTTCTGGCAGGCAGTTAAGGTAGGAGTAGTCTATTTTATTCCAGTTAGGACTGAGCTGATTTGAAGGTGTACTTCCATTTTTATAAGGACCAACCTGTCACACCCCTTCTAGATAGGGCACTACGGGGTCCCAACTGAAGCCTGGATGCTTGCCATGGCCTCTCCTGATTCTAATTTTTGGCCATGGCCTTCAGCCTGGTGAGACTGCTGGAAGCTCTCTTCAGCTCTCAGTATCTCAGCCAATGCTTTATGCTGCTTTTCAGCCCTAAACCACCATAATGGAATTGACAAATGCCTTAGTGGAGAAAGAGGCAGTGAATTTGGGGCTCACTTGACTCTCTTCTCTAAGAATCTCATGAATACCTACCTGTGGTGCGTGAGCCTCGCAGGGGATAGAAGAGAAGGTTCCTCAATGGGCTTCATACCCTCTGTGCGGGAGGTAGTAGAGCTTACTAAGCATATCCCACCTTCCATGACGTTTTTCAGTGCTACCAGATTACCCTACTTAAAGATGGTGCCTTTGTGCTTCTTACTCTTGAACTTGGGGAAGAATCCAGAAAAAAGGCCAGAGATATCTGGGGATGTCAAGGGCTCTGAAAGACTTTGGAATGTCAGTATCTCTGTCCTTACACTCTCAAATTGACAGATGAGGGCACAGCATCCCTCCCACTCCTGCTGTTTGGTCTTTTGAATCCCTACCACCTTGACAGTTCCTGAGATCTTCAACTAGATATTTTGTTAAAAAAAATAATAAACTGGGCGCCTGGGTGGCTCAGTTGGTTAAGCGACTGCCTTCGGCTCAGGTCATGATCCTGGAGTCCCGGGATCGAGTCCCGCATCGGGCTCCCTGCTCGGCGAGGAGCCTGCTTCTCCCTCTAACCCTCCTCCCTCTCATGTACTCTCTCTCTCATTCTCGCTCTCTCAAATAAATAAATAAATCTTTAAAAAATAAAATAAAATAAAATAAAATAACTCAGTTTGTCTAGTTGTTCTCAGTAGGAAGATTAATCTGCTAAAACTAGGTGCCAGTACCAGAAGTGGAAGCAATTTAAGTTTGAAAGTCACCTCATGATCTTAAATGGCCACAAGTACTCCACTCAGTCTGTGTCCAAGGTCTCCAGTGGAGGGAGGGGTCAAATGTGGACCTCCCCTCCCTTTATGGAGCTGTCAAGAAAGTACCACACACAGCACTGTGTCTTCATCTGACTGGCCAAAACTTAATCATGTAGCCACATTGAGATGCAAGGGAGGCTGAGAAATGTAGTCTGTTGACTTAGTATGTAGCTGTGCACTAAAATACCAGACTTTCGCTACTAAGGAAAAAGGGGAGAAAGTATAGTGAAGGTAAACCATTAGCACACGCTGCCCACAGGGATGTTCCAAAAATATCCTTTGTGAGAAATTTCATAACTAGGCTGAGAGGTAACATGAGAGCTCTAAGAATGAGTTCTAGGGGGGCAGGCTGCAGTATGAAAATGCACCAAATTATTAAAGAGTGATATAAATAATATCTGATTAGCATAAGACAAAAAATACATCTCGGGACAGAAGAAGGAAAAAAGACCACGTGTAGAAGGACGGCAAATCCACATGCCTATAACCACCAGGCAGATTATCACAATGAGTAACATGGGTGTAGGGTGGCAAATGATGTGTTCTTCATGCTGGTAACTGAGTGGAGGAGCTACAGAGGGACTCCTCTCCCTTGATGGGTAGTCTGCCACAATCTAATGTCTCAGGCCCTTGAAGCTGCATCTCGACTTGGCAACAGACATGACTAATAAGTGCAAGAACCAAGCGTGGACATCGGCGTGGTTTCTTGAAGAGCTGTCTTTGGAGTGAAAAGGAGAGCATCTAGATGCGGCCCTGACACTTCCCTCCAACACTGGGCCTGCCATTTGATCCTTTGGAGCCTCGTTTTCCATACCAGAAAGAAAGAAAGAAATGATCATCATAGTAAACCCTCAAGGGCTCGTTGTGAGGCTCCAATTAGCGGACCTGCAGCAGGTCGCTAGGAAGTCTGTCCCGGTGTTCCCTCCCATGGATAGGCAGTATGGTGGGCACACCCCACTGACCTGCATCCGAGGACATGCATTGTTCGGGCGAGTGAGAGTCACCTGTCAGGTGCTGTCAATCATACCCAGCCAGGCGAAAGCTTAGGGAGGCAAACCCGGTGGTCCGGGCCCCGATAAGTCTTCTTTGTTTTACCCTCCTGCTTATGACTCCTCTTGGCTGGTTCCCAAATCTTCAGTATTAGATTGGATAATCCCACTTTTAATAATGCTCAGGATATTTGCCTCCCTTGGGGGACTGCGATCACAGCAGTGGAGGGTATTAAAATGGAGCTGAATGCCACGCAGAGCACTTACCCTTTAAGCTGTGTGTATGTGCGCATGGTGTTTTGCATGTGCACACACAAGGGATTGCCTGTGTGCGTGTGCATGTGTGTACATTCTCTTGGCCTTCTGAGATTTTTGTAAACAAAATATTACATGGAACACCCAGTTTATTCTCAGCATTAAAGCACTGCCGAATCGGTTCACAACTCAGATTTTCTAAATCACTGAGGTTATTAACTTCCAAATTCTGTGTTTTTATTTCTCCTAAATGGCGCTAGTTTAGCATTTGCCTTAAGGGCATAGTAACACCTCATGAGACCCCAGAAAAATTAAGTTAATACATTGTTGAATTTGTTCAAAGTTATTTGAATTGTGCCCAGTATTTAAAACTTAGCATAAACCGAGTAGTGATCATGGACATGATTGGCTCCCATTTATAATAATATGTTTGGGGGGCCATGTTTTTTACCCCCTTCACCTGACTCTTCCGGTAATCAAGAGGCCATCCTGAAAAATAATTGGTAGAGAACAGAGAAAAGAAATATACAGAGTTACTAATATACACCAGGGTTTAAGCTGACATGAAATTTTATCTTAATTATCGGACAAATTTGTACTCCCACTATCTAATTCAATTTGCATGCATCGGTAGACACTTATTAAAGGTAATATTACATCTGTCATTTTAAGACTGGTGAGAATTTTATCATATGAGCTGCATGAAACAGCCACTCTATTATGTACAGAACTCTTTTGTACGGCTTAAAATAACCGGCATTGCATCCTAATTAAGTATTTTTTGTAATTGTCTTCAGGGCAGTCATAGTCTTGTCCATTTCGTGTCCGTCTTGTAAGTTATTTGGGCACAGAATTGAAGTTGCAGGAATGTACTTCTCCTCCCCTCTGCTTCCTCATTCTGGGTGAAAAATGAGAGCTTTGCTAATAAAATGTAAACTGGAATCAAATGTTCAAATAAGGTTTTATGAGAAGCATGCAATGCATAAACCCATCTTATAATTCTCCGCTGGATTTAGAATTCTGCTGTATACAGATATATCAGGCTGCTGAGGCATTAGCAGTTGAATACATCAGGGCTATTTTTGAGATGAGTTTATTAGATTTGTACTTTGTGTGAAATGAATTGGTGGAGTGCTAATATAGCATCATCAATTCAGGATAACAATGGCAGTTTCTGAGCATAGAAAGCCCTGAAATGCCATTAGATGTTGATATGATACTTTCCAAACAGACCCCAAAATCAGCTCACAGATTCTTGCTCTGAGCTTCAGGCCTTGGGTGAGGTTTGAGATAAAAATCCAGTTGCACAAAGCACACATTTAATCTTACATTTGCTGCCCCAGCTACAGCCATCTTGGTTTCGGAGCTCTTTTGTTCCACCCACTGAAGAGAGTGAAAGAAGTGAATCAGGGATGAAAATAATCGGCAGCATGCAAGGAGAGAAGAGAGGGAAGTCCGGTAGGGCAAGCGTGCCCAGACCGGAACTGCCAGAGCCAGGCTCTTGGGAAAGTGCGGGGTGGGGGACGTGGGGTGGTGATCCCTGACTCCCTATCTGCCTCTGTTTTCCTGGGGACCCCGATCCTCCTGGAAATGGAAAAATCAAGCGTTGCAGCTTTTGACTTGCTCGTCCCTGGGCCCGCAGGTACATTTGACGTGCTTACAGACCCTTTTACTGATTGGTAACGGCATTTGGCTTTTTTGGTCCTATCTTTTAAAAAAAGCCACTTTTGTCTGTGACTGGGGACAAGAGCTCCCACAGAGTTCAAACCAGACATCACCCACTCATAAAATTGTCAAAACGTTCGGCTGGTCACAATGCTGCTTTCTTAAATGGGAACTTTTGTTGTTGTTGTTAATTTAACCGAGACATTTTATCATGGGAGTTTTTTTTATTCTCTTATTTTAATTTCTTTTTTCTTTTTTACGGGGACAGAACCCAATCTTCCACTCCCTCCTTTCTAGGGATGACTGATTTAAGTTGCATTAAGTTATGAAAGTGGTTTCTTTCATCATTGTTTTACAACACCTCGGGTCTGTAACTGGGTGCACTTGGTCTTTGAGAAGGATGCTCCTGTTTTAAACCATCTCAAAAGTAAGATATTCTTACACCTCTTCCATGCCTTTTCTTTTTTCCTCCAACAGCCATCCCCTCGCTATCCCTAACTCCCCACATATGTGGCAGTGCGTCTTCTGGGTGTATTCTCCCTCACCACCATCCAGGAGAAGCAGATGAATAATTCATGGTGCCCCCATGCAGGTCTTCTCTGAGACTTCCCTGCAACACGTCTGAGCCGGCGAAGGACCAGGGAACTTACAAACAGCCACAGTGTGCTGTGTCAAAGAACAGTCAATCAATCTCCAAAGAAATGTGAAGAGAACAGGTTTTTCATGCCTGTGCGTTGGGAGGAAGCCAAACGTGTGTTGCTATTTGATGGTAGAATCAGTGTACACCTGTTCCCACCAGCTGCCAACATAACCTGTGTCAGATGCACGCGTCGCACCCGCAGCATCCGCACAGCGGGCCGTGTCTGTGTGACAGTCGGGACAGACAGCACCAGGAACTTGGGGACCAGGCAAGGGGGAGCTTGCAGAGCCACTGCAGGGACACAGATGTGTGAGGAACGTGATAAAGGAAGGAAACATCTGAGGGAATACGCTCAAACAAAACAGCAAATGTCATTTGCATTATATAATTATGGCCAACCATGGAGTCCTTTGTAATAACACTCGGTAGGCCAATGTTAAACCTACAGTGACTGATAAAAAGGCCTCAGCTTGAAAAAAGGTCAGCGTGAATTAGTATATATTTGCTGATTAATTCAGAGTGTGCCTTCGTAAATTTTATAGTCCGCGGCCCCAGCCTGGTTTGAGACCTATGAAATTCAAATGCACCTGATTCAGCACACACTAGCACTCGGACCTGGCATTGTGCTTTGTGGAAAACTTCATCATGCACATGCGGACACGTGCAGGCATGTGGCCGGATGGACAGACCACTGGATTTGGGAACGTACGTAAAATAAGACACGTGCCCGGGGACAACACTTGCCACCTGCCCGTGTGTGCCGGGCTGTGGCAGGTCTGCTGGAAGGATTCCTGCCTTTTTTACCCAAATCTCCATAATCAGGGCTGTTGATTGCAATGTGAGGCTCTTATGATGCTGTCTAGTCAGTGTTCAAAGGAAAAAGTAGGTGTGTGTGTGTGTGTGTGTGTGTGTAAGGGGGGGTGCGGGTGGATAAATATGCATTCGAGGAAAACATTTAGCCTAAAAGACTGTTAGCCTAAAACTATTTTCAAGATTATAAATACAGGGGCACCTAGGTGGCGCAGTTGGTTGAGCCTCCGACTCCTGGTTTCAGCTCAGGTTCTGATCTTGGGGTCATGAAATCGAGCCCTGCATGGGGCTCTGTGCTCAGTGGGGAGCCTGCTTGAGCTTCTCCTTCCCTCTCCCTCTGTCCCTCCCACTCATGTTCTCTCTCTCTCTCTCAAATAAATAAATAAATCTTTAAAAAAAAAGATTATAAGTATAGATTCTGCTTATAGAAATGCATGCTAATGAGCACCTACTATGTGCAAGTTAATTTGTCAACGTAAATTCTCATTATTGCTCCATGATATACCAACTATTATCTTCATGAAACAGCTCTCCCAGGGTGGAGTTATCAAATGGTGCAGTTGGGGTCTGACCACAAGTTTGACTACTGCCAAAAGCCCTTGCTTCCCATTTCACCTTCATTGTCTTTGCAATTGTTTGTTACACCTATTTTTGTACATATTTGCTAAATCCCTTGCCAGATGCTCTGAGTTGGGGACCCCCACATAGAGCACAGACCCTTAGCAGATTTCAAACACTTACCTTGGCTATTCCAACCAAGCACCTTCCCCTGCAAGCTGGAACGGCAGCCAGAAACTCCATCCCATCTAGATCTACGATGAAAAGATCTTTTCTCCCACCTTCAAACCCACGTTCCCCCCTTTGCCTCCACAAAGTGGCTTTTCTTCATACAAAGGGTGGAGACCCTACCCTTAGACTCCAGCTGAGCTCCTCTGCTCCCACTAACAGAGTCTTTAGATGAACCAAGCAGCAGTGATGTGCATTTCTTGAAAACTAGCGAATCTCTTGGTTTCATTGAGCAACACAGCCCTTCGCCATAATTAGGGAGGCTGCCGAGGTTTTGGGAGAAGGGTTGGCTGCAAGTCGGGAAAGGAGAAACAGTTAGATTACAGTGCATGATTTTAGATGTTTGTCAGGGTCCCAAACTGGGGACTTCCTACCTGCTTCATATTTTATGAGACCAAGACTGGGAGGTCCAGGTGGAGTTATCCAGTAGGTTGTGGAGTGATGGAAGGACACGAGGCTGGAGGTCAGCATAGTTGCTCCCTCCACCATGTTCTGCTTCTAGCTTGCAAAACGATTCTGGGCACGTGTCAAACCAGCCTGGGCCTCCATTTTTCTTGAGTGAAGTGTTACATCACCCAAGTGTCTTCTGACTTTAGCCTTATACTATTAAAAATGATACTTTGCATTGTGACACCTTCATGGTTCACAGAGTGCTCATATATATGTTACTCTAGAAAATACTTGGAGAGCAAGAGGTGGGAAGTTGAAGGGTTGGACGCTGACCAGGGGTTTGTAGCCCCCTCCATACCTGTCCATCTGTGGGATAGCTCCTCAGACACGCCAAAAGCCCTATGGATGTGCTGGGCCCGGACTGTCTCTGAAATGGGGTTTCCACCAGTTTCCCAAGCTAGTATCCCTCTTGCCCCCTCTCCATGCTCTCAAGGGCAGTGCTGGTCTCAGCCCCACCCCATGCATCCTCCCTGACCTTCCTTCTCTGAGCTTCTGCTACCTTGTCAGCAGCAAAGCGGATGGGGCTCTGCACTGTCTGACCTTTACCCATTGTTCTAAGAATATAGCAAAAGGTCCTAAACAACCTCCAAGGGCCTACCAATCTGGCTCCACCACCTCTGCTGACCTTCATTCAACACATCCCTTTGCTTCGACGCATGAGTCACATACGTCCTCATTCTGAAAAGCACTTACCTCTCAGGGTCTGGGACGTTCTCCATCTTGCTCCTTCTCTCCTTGTCTTGTACTCCTTTCTTGTCCAGGCTTTAATGTCACTTCCTTGCAACAGATTTCCCTAAAGTGTAAGCTCAGTGCAGTGCCTGTTTCATATCCTCAAAGCTCCCTAGAATTTTTTTCTGTTAGCACTTAACACAAGTTTGATGCATTACCTGTGTGGTTATTTGATCAATGTTCACATTTGCAAAAGTACTGACCTCTGCCCCGCCCGGTTGTAATCCCCACATCTAGGGAAGAAGCAGCACTTACTAAGTGCTCAACAGACACTTGGGTTGACCTGGCTGATCCCCAGGGGAGATAAGAATGCTGTGAACTCTTCTTCTGGGCAGGAGCTGTGCCATTAGGCCTCTTTGTCACCATGTCTAGAATGGAGCTGGACACCCAATAGGTGTTCACAAGTCCAGAAAGTCAGGGAGGTGGCAGGAGATGGATTCCAGCCATGTCATGAAGTTCTGCGAAGTTGCCGCCAAGCCTCCCCAGAGGGAAATGCTGCAGAGCTGCTGACCCCAGGGCCTGCACCCAGAGAGTCCCAACCTCCAGCTTTCCAACCATCAGCTTTCCTGGCCATGGCCCTTTAAAGGTAGAAACCAAAATCAAGGGTGGAATTTAATGCAGTTCATTATAAGACCAACTGTTATTAACACCAAACAGTGTTAGCATTTAAATTTTGGTTTCCAAGTTATCAGGAATTTTTCTAGAACCCCATTTGCACAGGAGTTCATAGATTTCTATGAAATAGGCCATAAAATAAAGCATAATCCATTCCCATTTGCCAGCCCCATGCTCGGGTGAATAGCCATCCTGGTTTTCCCGGGACCGAGGGGTCACCCAGGAAATGGGACTTTCATGGCCAAAGCCAGGACAGCCCCAGGCCTATCTGTGACAGATGCAGTGAGAACACAAAGACACAAGCTGGATTGACTGGCAGGTTTATCCTGGTCTCAGTGTGGAGTTCCCTAAAAGCAAACCCACAAGAGGACTCGCATGCAGGCAGTTTACTTGAGAAGGGATTGTAGGAAGTGCAAGTGAAGCAATGTGGAGTATAAGAGAGATAAGGGACGGAACCAGAAAGCTGGTTTCCATAATAGATAGCAGGAACTCAATCTTGCTGAAGGCCCTCGTATAGTCTTAGAAATGTCCTACAAAAGGATGGAGCAGGAGGAGGTGTATTAGCCCAGTGACTTCAACTCCTCATTGGTTAAAGGTTGCTCCCTAGCTGTGACTTCCTCACCCTTGGGGCTGCTTCTGCTCTAAGCTGGCACCAGGCTGGGTAGACGAAGAGGTTATGGGCCCAGGGGGCATGGAATGGGGCATCAACAGCACACGCAATGCCTAGGATGAGTCCAAGATGTGAACTTCAGTTATGGTCCAAGAAGGGGGCCAAGGGTCAGAGAAATCAAATCCAGTATAGACCCAAAAAGACAGCTTGAAGCCAGTTAGTTTGGAAAATAGATCTTGACCAAGGGGAATGCTGGTCATGTGTATCTGTCAGGACTCAGTGCAGGAAACAGAAATCTCTCTATTTTGAATGAAAAGATTTAACACATGACGTAGTTGCTTGCAAAACATTTGGAAGTAAGTGCTAGAGGAGCAGATATCGGGAACCACCACTAAACTACCGGTTTCAAGGTCACACCACCCTGACTGTGGTCCAGGAGTCAGGAAGCTGGTGCTCCACTGCAGCCACTGCATCTGACCCTCACTGCCCTGGCACTGCCGTGACCCCTGAGAGTTCGCATCTCTGCCCAGCCTTCCTTGCCAGCAACCAAGATGGCCACCACCCATGTGTTCCAAATTTCCCGTACATGCGTGAGATTTGCAGGACCTAACTTATATGCAGATCCTTAGCCACCAGATCTTCTGGACAATGAAGATTATAGTTTTCCAAGTTTTCCAAGTAAAATGGGAGGAAAAATGGAAGTTGAGAGAGCCAATCCCAGCATTTACTAGACCGCATGCAGCCTTCGGTGGGTGCTACTGTCTTGAAGTGGTTTTATTATTCTCTAAGTGCAGCTGATGGAGATTCCCAAGAGAAACAGAGCAAGACCAAGGTTTTGTTCATCTTTCTTCTCTATCTCATGTTCTCTAATAGTCCACGGTGACCCATCAAGATGAATGACATTTGGGGACTGCCAGGGTCCCATTTTAGAAGGAACCCCACCCTCGCTGCCTCCAAACTGAGTCTGACTCTTTTAGCTGCTTCCAGAAATATGATGGGGGGCCTTCCCCTGTGCTTCTGAGCTATAAGCTCTGAGCTCACTTCATTCACTGTTTCTATTCTGGCTTCATCCTTCAGATGATGATCTCCTTAAAGCCAGGGCTGTCCCTATGTTGTCTTTGAATGTCCTGCCCAGCACTGGGTACCCGGAATGGGCCAAAGGTGCAGTAAATGGGTGTGGAATGAACACGCTTCCTGCCTTATCAGGTGTGTGGTGGCTTTGTGGAAGTTCGATCACCCACCCAGCCCACCTATTGGAAAATAGATCTTGACCAAGGGGAATGCTGGTCATGTGTATCTGTCAGGACTCAGTGCAGGAAACAGAAATCTCTCTATTTTGAATGAGTACCCTCACAAAAGTCAGAGGATGGGCCTCATGCTATGGCCGTCTGAGATAAGATGGCCATGTTGAAAGATGGCACATGAAACTGTGGCCTCCTTCACAGGCTCTGTCCCACTGAGTTCACACACCTCCAGGTCCACGACCAGGTAGTTTTCCAAAGAAGCTTGCTGTAAAGCATCCCTCTCAGCTAGGAGTACTCTGGTATTCAAAGCACAGTGATGTGGTTTTCCTTGGTACAAATCCACTGCATTTGGGAGCCAGGGCTATGGATCATATCTGGGGAAGCACTCAAACCCCACTAGCTTCTCCCTTCCACCCTCCACCTTTCCACCTCACATGACCCATGGAGAGGTCCCCTCACCAGTCACATCCCTGTCATTAGGAAACTGTATTAAGAAAGCAGAACCAGGGGCGCCTGGGTGGCTCAGCTGGTTAAGCGACTGCCTTCGGCTCAGGTCATGATCCTGGAGTGCCGGGATCGAGTCCCACATCGGGCTCTCTGCTCAGCGGGGGGTCTGCTTCTCCCTCTGACCCTCCCCGCTCTCATGCTCTATC